TTCCTGTTCCTTCAGTTTCTCTCTTTTGTCATTTCATGCTTCTTCTTCCGCTTCTAGTAACAGGCATTGCTTTTGTAAATAGGGAACAGCCTCTGACGTCAGAAACAAACTGTCCCATCGTGATCCAGTGCAAACAGGTGAAAAAAGGGAGCAGTCAGGTGACCGGTGAAAAGACTTTAAACAACAGAATCCCTGCGATGATTGCAGAATCATGCGCATCAAACCAACTTCACAGCTGTGGCCTTACGGTTAAAACCGTTCGTTAAACAATCACACATGCATGGAGGTAGGGATCGATTTGTTGTTTGTTTTAATAACCGTTAATTAAATATTTAATATATTGTTCGAGGAAACTAGTTAGAAGACAACGGCATTAACTTCAGTTAAGTACCTCAGCCTTTTAACATCAAATACCGACGTCATAACCATAATAAAATATGCAAGTAAAACTGAACGACGTTATAATTAAAAACACCAATCAGGCTAATTAATATTTACGGAATCAGATTCTTGGCGACGGCTGTCATGATGAACAACACCGACTCGGTTTCGTCCCAACTAGCATTCTGCTTGGCGCACTGGAACATCTGGAATACGAAAACAAAAACTGCAATTAAGACACGAACTGTGAAACTTGCGCATCCAATACGTTACCGTTCGGAAGAGCGATTTGGAGCCAATGATGAACACCACGTCCTTGATTACTTCAGCCACCAAACGCCTGAACTCTGAAAAGTCCTCGCTTTCGTTCGGAACACCTTCCTAAGTAACGGCGTTCACAGATGATGACAAAAGGTAGTATGACCTTACGTGATCCGGGTCAAACCTGCAGTGTCGATAGAGCGCGATCACCAATCGTTCGATGTACGACTGAAAAGTCGCCTTTAATTCGTCATCGTTTCGCAGGTAAATGAATTCCGATAGACGATACCAAAAATTGAATGTTATATCGGCAAGCTAAAACGATTACAGCTACAGTAATCATTGAAATAAATTATAGTCGACGAAGAATAATTGTAACTGCTGTGATTAGAGGCACGAGAAACAGACGGAATAAGGACAAACTGACATACGCAGATATCACTCACCATGAACTTCACAATAAAATCGTGAGTCCACCCACCACTCTGAATCATTTTATGAATCCGACCAGATTGACAGTAAGATTCACGGCAGCATTGATCTAACATGAATTACCTATTAGAAATCGTAATCCGTGCAAATCTAACACGGCTTAATTGATGAGTATTTCTAGTTAATCTTAATTCTGTGCATTGAGCACAAATTTACTACATGCTTTTGGACCTGGCTATGCCGCTATTCATCTGGATGGGCGCCGTCGTAGCAAGGTAGGTAAGCGCCTTTCACACCTCTAGAAATCTCGCTGCACCGGTATCACCTTCTCACTCAGCAATGCAAACACCAACCCTGAATGATTCTCAGTACCATTTACCAAATAGACGTTTTGCCTAGAAAATCATTCGATAATGATTAATCGCTTATGGAAATCAGTGATGATGCTGATATCACCATTAACCTATGCGGATTTTATAGTTTTCACACTTTGTTTATAAGCACAGTTTGAAATTACTCAAATGATGACAATATTATTGAACAATTATAGCGAATGAATATTATTGTTGGTCATCACTATTATCCATCATATTGTCTTGGACTCAACTGACTTAGCAAAAGTCTACACACATAACAGTGCCCTGTGAAAGCGTCTCAAGAGGAATTGTGGCATAACAAATCAAACCTGCGACAAAACTTCACAAAATGTGCATCCTGTACAATTCTGATAATGAGAGGGTCGATGGAGCAATGCAAAGTTATTCAGCCTGAGTAATACACTAGCTCATATTCAAGCACGGCAAAACCTTTTCCTATTAACTGCCAATTTTCCTAAGCAAGGAGTTTATCCCGCTGTACTTCATGCAATCACCAAAGCTACGGCAAGCAAATTGGTGATTTACAGACAATATGCAAATATCCTTGTTTTCACAGAGCATGAAGTTTTGTACGGCCGTTGGCATGGCTGACGAGGCCTCAGTGATGAGAATATCATTCTTAGCGCGTAGTTATACAAGAGCTAACGAAACTGGCGGTTGTACGGTTCGGTGCACTCTGTTTCCCTACAAGCCGGTTCCAATGGCAGAAGGTTCAATTCGTCAATAAATTAATTAAAAATAAATATTATTCACGAATATGAATAACTAATCAAACTATGAAGGTAAATGAATCGAACTGTGCCGCAGATTCAAATTCAAAGTATTTAATGACTGATGTATTAGTAACCAAGTCTATGGAGGGGAGCCTCTGATGCTCTGGCTTGTGTCTTTCGCATTAAGCACATTCAGAAAGAAATGAAGTCTAAATCTGCGTCACACGGTTGCTGATTTTCACTTTGGATAGTCAACGATAATGTCTGTCAAAACGAATTGCAGCCCTAAGAAACTTTTGCATGACAAATGACCAGACCAGAACACCAAGCCGTCCCTATTATTCACAAGTTAACGACATATATCCGCAGGTTGAATGACGAAACATGGGGTTAGTTCGTTGCACACGTGAATTCACGGTTAAGCCAAAGGTTAACACTTGAGCAGAGTCGAACCCGGCACCTCCACAGTTCAAAGCCGACCACTTTGACTCTGTGCCAGGTTAAAATGCAGAAACACAAAAAATATACAGGATGAGTATCCCAATCCGAAATTCCAAAATCTGTAACACTGTATTAACTCGCTTCTCAGTCTTGAGTTATTTGAAATATCTTTGGATTTCAAATATCTTTGAAACAACGGCCGTAACACTCTTTGCGTCCCTCTATTCTCAACCTTCCGTCGGCAAGCCTATCGCCCGATACCCGGCCAATCAGAAGAGCCTCCCTTGGTCCCTAACGAGGGCCAGATGGTCAAACGTTACTGTAAGTTCTGTACGTCCCATGTGTGAGCACACTTGGTCACTACTCATTTTGTCTACAAGATCAGAAGGAAAACACGTCAAACACCCAATTTGCTGTTTGCATTTTATCATGAAAACAATCCATTAACCTTCGCTTCCATTTCGTCTTTCTTCCCCTTCCTGAACCCTATCTCTTCCAACCTGCATGAAAGTGTCTTTCTGTAGGTAATGAAGTTGTAATGAAACGACATCTGGGTCCTTTAACTTTGTGGAATGAGTTTCATTTTTTGTGATTTGCATGAAGTTGCTACACCGCTTTCTGGAACATCCGTAACTTCATTCTTATAGAAGGCAACCCTTTCGGATAGGTAATCACTGTTTTCGGCTATAAATATATTTTATTCAAGGAAGCAGATTTGTTATTTTGAGTGTTTAAGTAGAGAATTTGGGAGAAATAACGTGGTTTAAATAGTTTATATTTCGGCATTTTGTGACCAATTCTGAGTTAATTCATCAGTACCCGTTTCCTTATTGACACATTTTTATCGAATGGGAGAGAGTTCTCACGAGTGTCATGGGTATGCAGTAAACCGTCAAACATGACTACCGTCCTAATTTTTCTGAAAGTCTGAATTTTTTCTCATTTCTCTTCAACTCCACCATTCATGTATTCCAAAATTTGGAAAAATCCAAAATCTGAAACAATCTTGGTCCCAGGCATTCCGGATTAGGGATACTCAACCTGAAATATTATAATACAAAAACAAAATCTGCAAGTCTAACCACAATTACCGAATAATCATGATGGCCTATTACAACCAAGAGCATGTCCAACGTTGCAAAAGATCCCAGACCCTAAAATCGATTTCAGTACATATGTTAATCACTCGGTCACATTACGGACATACCTTATTAGGCTCTTCAACAATTGGAAGAAGAAGTGACTCTGCAAACGACGTAAAGATTCGAGCAAGATTCTGTAATCTTAAACAATCACATTTCAGATATAAATAAATATACACATAATACATTCACTATACACAAATATATATTTAAGGCTATTCTCTAAAACGACACCAGAACCTTGAGGAAAGTGAAAACCTCTCGACAAGTCACCTACTTTGAATGATCTTCGAGGGCAACGAACTGGTGGAATACCGGCTGCAGTTGATGAATGCTCTGAAAAACAACATGGGCGGCATTCGGATGAGCCGTAAAATTCTGAAATTAGTCATGGTATAAGCGCTTCTTCCAATAGTCAAGAAAAAAACTGAACATTACCTCGATGATGTAAGTGATTTCTAAAACAACGTCGGTGGCAGCATCATAAACAGAATTTGGAGCTGACGAATTGCCCTAAAAAAAAACTGACTCAAATAGGAAAATCATGGACGGATTAATGAATGAAGGCCAATCACAAGTACTAAAGAAAAGGCCCGAATTTCGATCAACAAATCTGTGTCAAATGTTAATGCAAAGAAGAATTGCAATGCATCCAGAAACCACAATATTATTCACCGGACACTAGATGAAAAGTTTAATAGAATTCTTAACATTGTGTTTTTAAAGGGCCAGTCATTTTTCGAAGTAGTAAGTGTTCCTCCAAATGTTTTCAAAGGGAATATAGAGAATTTCTTTTTATTTTAGCACTTAAATTGTTCAGCTGAGATTCAGGGAATGTGCAACCACTGTTGGATCCCGGGCAAGATCGGAAACGATCAAGATAGGGAACCACCTGTGAACAGGATCAACCCTGTTATAATTTTGCTCCAATATTTTGGATGAAGATCTATGTTTAGGTGCAGGGGTCATGGCTGTTCTTCATGCATTTTGAATGCTCTGGTTAACAGAGCAACGTTCTAAAAATACGGTGAGTTTGCAACGAGAGTTCTGAGTTCAAATAGAATACATCATTGACAATTTAGTTAGGTAGCAGAGCAAACCATACTGAACCAGTTCTGTAAATTTCTTTCTGGCCG